ACAGTTTGTGTCTTCTGTTTTAAAGGACTATTAGAGAAGGGTTTGGGAGGATTTTTTTTTAATGACTCAAGATTGTATTCTTAAAGAGACAATACATCTCACCAGCCTGGAAAACTCTTACTTGTTCCTTCAGTGGTGATATTTATGTGCTCACACTTGGATCTTGTGTTTCACTTCTACTGATTAAATAATTGAGAAAGGAGAAACGGTTTATTTTTCAAATGAGTGACAGTTATTACTTGCACTTATTTTTTAAAAATTGTACAAAATGAATGTGTGACCTAGATTATACAGTTTCCTTATAACTCCAGGTGTATTTTCATACCCACCCACAGAAGGAACCCACCATAAATGGATCCCTGCTCTGATGGGGTTTGCATTCCACAATTCACAGTCTTGTTCTCAGTGGCCACAGGGATTCTAGTATAACTAATAATTAGGTATTTAGATTGCTTTCAAGTTTTTATTAATTTCATCATTTAGATTATTTTCCAGTTTTTATATATTAACAAACAGCAGTGCAGTGAACATGATTAAAGCTAAAACTTTGCAGACATCCTTAATTTCAAAGAGCACATACATTTCAAGGTGTTTTGACACTCCAGATTTCCTCCCAAAGAGTTAACTATTTACATTCTTTCCAATGAAATGAGATGGCCCACATTTGTGTTAAGATCGGATGTTGTATTTTTTTAAAGCTCTGCCAGTTTCACTAAAGTCTGGGTGAAAATACTGCTTATTTTAATTTACATGTCTTTGAGTAATAATGAACTTGAGATTTGCAAATTTTCATTAGCCATTTGTGTTTCTCTTAGTGAATTTCCTGCATGTGTTCTTTGTGTGCAGCCCACCTCTCTCTCTTGTTGCTGTTGTTAACCTCACCTGAAGATTTTTTTCCCATTGATTTTTAGAGAGAGTAGAAGGGGAGTCTGGAGGGGAGAGGGAAGGGGAGAGAAACAGGGAATGAGAAACATCAATGTGAGAGAGACACATCAATTGGTTGCCTCCTGCAGGTGCCCTGACTGGGGCCGGAATTGAACCTGTGACCCAGGAATGTGTCTTTGACAGGGAATGGAACCTGTGACCCTTTTGTATGCAGGCTGATGCTCTAGCCACTGCTCAGTGGGCCAGGGCCCACCTCTCTTTTTAAGCTTTTATAATTTTAATTGATTTTTAGGTGCTCTTGATTTATTAAAGATATTAATCCTGGGTCTGGCATATGTAGTGCAAGTATTGATTCCAGTTTATGTTGTTGCCTTTTATTGTTCTCGTGGTGGAACTGTGTTGCTTTTACCAGGAAAACCCATTTAACCAAACAGTATTTGTTATGTCAGTTTAAGGAAATGTAAAACCAGAACATTAGCAGGAAGATGATACATTAAATTCGTACATTGTTTTTCTCTTCACTGGATGTGAACTTTTTTTTTTTTTAACTATAACATATACACTTCATTACAACCAAACTAAAATTTTCTGCATTAATGAGGAACGATGCTAACTTTGCTGCATTAGAAAAAAGACTGAGTGTTCTCTTTCAGGCATGAAATACTTTCAGCTTATTTTCTCATCTGTAAAATAGGAGTAGTTCTTACTTTGTAGGACTGTTTCATATTCAGTGTCTGGCTGATAGTAGGTGCTCAATAAATGGTAGCTGTTTTTATGATCATGATGACATACTGCATATGCCAGGGTCTGAGCACTCAATGAACTGGTAGCTCCTGATGGCAACAAATGTATAACTGATTACGCTAGACGCTCTTGTCTGCACTGTTTCTGATAAATCAGCTTTAAGTTGTATTGTAGTTCCTTTGTATGTAATGTATCATTTTTCTTGGGCTGCTTTTAAGACTTTCTCTTACTTTTGGTTTTTAGCAGTTTGACTATAATGTGCCTAGGCATAGTTCTCTTTGTTTTGATCCTTCTTGGGGTTTGCTAAGATTCCTAGGTGTGTAAATTAATATATTTTTAACTAAACTTGGAAACATTTCAGCCTTTATTTCTTAAAGTATTTTTTCTTCCCTTTATGTTGTCTTCTTCCAGATCTGCAATTACACATGTGTTTCATTGCTTGATATGGTCCAACTGAACCCTCAGGCTTTCTTTCTTCAATCACTTTTTTTATTTTTCTGTTTGTTCTGCAGATGTAAACTATAGAAGAAAGGGTTAGTAAATTGGAATGGGACAATGGAAATTTTCTGCTATTAAAGTTATCTAGTGAATTTCCCATATTGTATCCTTTGGTTCTAGAATTTACATTTGGTTCTTTTTGGTAGTGTCCCTCTCCTGGAATTACTCACCTGTTACTTGTTATAACCATATTTTCCTTTAACTCCTTGAATGTATATGCAGTACAGCAGGTCCTCGAATAATGTCATTTCATTCAACGTCATTTCTTTATAACATAGGAACTTAACTCTTATTTTCATTATGTGGTACTTTTCTTAAACTCACAGAACCTATGGATGACATTAAGTAAGGACTTACTGTAGTTGTTTTATATTTCTCATCTCCTAATCCCTGGATCATCTCAGGATCTATTTCTGTTGCCTGTATTTTTTCCTCTTGATTATGGGTCATATTTTCTTTGCCTGTCTAATTGTTTTACTCTGTTGGATGTTATGAGGGATACATTATAGGGAGTCTGTATTAAAGGATATGGATAATTGTTTTGATAGGCAGTTCCTGGCACAGTTGGTCCTGTTAAAATTCGTGGTGGTGGTTGTTTTTAATCTGTGTCTGTCTGCCTGCCTATCTATCTACATATCTCCTCGCTCTAGGGTGGACATTGAACTTAGTCCAAATGCATGACTCCTACTCTAGAGTATGTTTTATTACTAAGGCTTGGCCTTCTTGGTGTGCAAGCTGACTGTCTTAGGTGCTTATGAAGATCTCTTTATTCTAGTTGGGCAGACCCTCCATTGTCTTTGGCGCTGCATGACCTCGGGAGTCTCCTTTCAGCACTCAGCCTCACAGCTGCCACTCTCTGGGCCCCATGAAGTCTTGCCCTGGCCATGGACAGTGAAGTCCTGGAGAAGTAGCTTTGGAAAATACCCACAAAAACTTTTGGGGCCTACCCTTTGCTACTCTGGCCTGCAAATTCCAGGTATTTCTGCCATTCAGAACAGCCACCTCCTCTTCTTCAGCTCAGTGAAACTGCAGTTCTACTTGGGCAGAAAATCCCCCCACCCCCTGGCTGAAAGCCAGGCCAGGCCCAGGGCTCAGCTCCTGTGTTTCCCTGCTCTCAAGGCTCACAGTCCTGCACTGCCTGTGGCTCAGTGCCTGAAAACAGCTGCTTTATGTGTTTTGTCCAGTTTTATAGTTTTATAACGAAGGGCATGTTTTATAACGGAGGGCATTCTTTCATGTATGGAAGCAGAAGCCTGGTGGCTGTTTGCTTGAAAGCTAAGTCTTCCTCAATAATATTAATGACACGCTACTATTTTTTTTATTCTATTTGGAATATGACTGATTTTATTTGACGGATTCTTAGTTTCTGTGTTGGCTGCAGTGTTATTATTAACTTATGTTAACTTTTCATCTGTCACTATACCTGGTCACAGACACTGCTGAGTTACAAGTAGCCTTAATGAAGCACCCAGAGAAACTTTGTCTTTTGCACAAATTGTCATCTGTACCATCTTACCCTGTAGTTCTCATTGTCAGCGTCAGTGATGTCTGTAAATGACAATTCTAGTTGGATATAGTTGTCTTGAGATTTTTTTGAAAATGATCAGTTTACAATAAGAGTTTGGTGTGCCATTCTGCCTTATTTTAATTGTTAAAATTAGGTATCAAATATCTACTCTTTTAAAATATGTAATGTATTTTTTTTGCATGAGGAATGAACATGTATTTATATGTCAAATTTGCTTTAAAAATATTTGAAGATAGCTTTTAGTAATTAAGGCATAATAAGTTCTATTTCTTTCCTGCAAAGGCCTTCCTCCCTCCCTTCCTTCCTATTTTGTGACTGATTCACTTATATTTGCACAGCATTTTTTACTTTTCAAAGTCTTCTCATTATGTCTGGCCCTTCCTTTCCACTCACACAATCCCGGTGCCCTGTCTTGTTACCTCTTGACTAGAGTAATTCTCCCTTCCTGTTGGAATCTCCTGGCCAATCACTTTCACAGTTTAATCTTCCTAAAGTTGAGTTTCTCATTCTAATGTAAAAAAAAAATTTCACTGTTCCATGTTGCCTTCCAAACTCTTTAGTGGTTTCCCAACCCATCTTTCACGCCAGATTTTGGGTATTCTTCTTTCAGCTGCCTCCACATTTTCCTCTCCCTGACTTCCATGCATGCTGTTCCTTTCACCCACGGTGACCTTCTCTTCTCTCCTCTTCATCATCCCAGGTCCCCGGTGTCACTCATGAAACCTTTCCCAGTTCCCCGTGCTATTGTGGTTATTAATCCAGTTCACATTTGAATTACAGGTACTTGTACGTATCTTGTCCCGTGGTGTCCTACACATAGTAGACAAGAAATACTAGCCATTTCACTGTTGGGAAACCTCTGATCTAGAGGGGGTGTGAGGGGTTATTTACATTCACAGAATGCGGAAACCAAGACCTGAAGTGTTTAAATGACATCACACCCAGAATTAATGACGGATTCCAGATTTACAGTCCAAGTCCTCTAAATTTTTTCTTTAGGTAGCTTCTCCACTCTCATCTAATTTGGCTCAAAATGACTTTCGTTGTCTTCTCAGTATAAACTTATTTTTTTATACTTTGCGCTTGTCCACATTTATAAAAAAATGAAGTGGGGGATTTTGCTCTACCTCCTACTCCTCCCTTTGCTGTCCTTGTGAGCTGTGGCTGCCGCCACCCTGAGGAGTAGAAGGCTAAACCCAGGTCCCTAGAGCCTCGCTGTCATGGGTCATCCTGCTCGTCTTGACATCAGACAAGATCCAATGCAAAGTGCTCCGTTTTGCTGTTTTCTAAGTGTGGCTTGATATTACCGTTGTAATAGAATTCTTGTTCCCTCTCTTATTTTCAGGCTCTTCGCCTTAGTAACGTGGCCATGGGCAAGACCACCACAGGCCAGATCGTCAATTTGCTGTCCAATGATGTGAACAAGTTTGATCAGGTAAGCTGCACCAGAGCCGTCCTTTTTCATTTCCCACCCTTCTTACCTAGTTTACCACAGGCCAGGACTCTGTTGAGGATGTAAGGTTTTTTTTAACTTTTTTATTTAACTCTCATTTCTTCTGTGTGCTGCTTAGATGTAACATGCATTGTTCTGTAGATGAGAGTTTTGTTTCTCTAATGTTGCCTACAACATAATTCAGTGGTAAATAGGCAGACAGCAGTGTTCTGGCCCAGCTTGGTTAAAGGTACCTAGTAGCCTTCCTGGCGTGGCCTTTCTTAGCACCTTGTGTTGGGATTGCTGGCTGAGTCATCTTTTTCTTCCCCTAGATGAACTTCTGGTGGGTAGGGATGATTTTTCCCCGTGTCCTGTATAGTGCCTTCTGTGTAGGAAGCCTTCAGTAAATAATGACAAATGGGTGGTCTCTAACCAGAAACGGCCTACTCTCCTGTAACCCCCCATACTCTCCTTTTTCATTTACCTTGTGAATATATCCCATCATCCAGGGCACCATGGCCGCTGGTCAGATCTGTATTGTACTAGATCACTCCTCTTTTAATCATTCATTCCTCGAAAATGAACTGAGGTTCCTATTCAGTTTTAGGGATGAGTAAGACTTTTACCCTGGAGACCCACAGTCTATCAGGGAGATAAATACACAAGGAATTACTGGAGCGTGTGGACTGTAATATAGGCTTTCCTGGATGGTGGAGAGTGTAGAGGAGGTGGGGCTAAATTTTATGGCAGAGTTTGGGGAAGCCCTGAGCTCATCTGTTGAGAAGACAAAGCTGAGCTCTTCCTTTTAATGCTGCTGGTCAGGTTCTCCCTGGATGCACCTGTAGCCTGCCCTGTGTTGCCGGAGTGGCAGATATTTTCTGCTGTAGCAGGGTTAAACCCACTGTGGTCACTTCCGTTTAGGTTCTCATCTGCTCTGTTCTTTCAGAGCAGATGGTTTCTATACTGTATCTTTCATTGGTTTTGTTTTTAAATAGTCTTAAAAAGGCTTTGTCTTTTTCTTCTAAGGTAACAATATTCTTGCACTTTCTGTGGGCAGGCCCACTGCAGGCCATCGCAGTGACCGCCCTGCTGTGGATGGAAATAGGAATCTCGTGTCTTGCCGGGATGGCAGTGCTAATTATTCTTCTGCCTTTGCAAAGCTGCTTCGGAAAGTTGTTCTCATCACTCCGGTAAGAGAAACATATGTAGGTACTGTTGTACTATAGCAATAGGTGTTTGATAACATGCACAGTCTGCCCGATGCTTTTGTTCAAAGACAAAACAAATGCCTTCTGTGGTCCCTTCTTTGCCTGTGTTGTAGACTCTTCGGGCTTAGTGGGTGGGGCTCCAGCCTTAAGCTGAAAGCTAATCTTGTAGCAGGGAAGGGGAGGGCATTTGCTGGCTCCTCCTGGCTAGCTTTTCAGTCACCTTACCTCAATAGGTAGAGTGTACTTAAGCAGAATTTACATGCATCGAAGTTATTTAAACATTATTAAATAGTAATACACTTAGATATTTTATGGGCCCCGTTCTAGCTGCATATACTTTTATTATACTTGTGTTAATGCCATTTGCAGTGTGTGTTGTTTTTATAATTCACTGTTTCCATTAAGTTATGAGCTCCCCAAGGATAAGGTTGATCGTAATTATGTCTTCATAATGTTCCGCAGTCCTAACAGCATTTGTGATAGAAAAGTGGGTGGTAATGAAGAGCCTAATGGTGATGAATTAGACCTGAAGCAGATCCCAGAGGGTTGGAAGTGGGTCATAGCCAAGTTGTCAGATGGATGGAGATATATTGTTTGAAGCACATTGAGCTCTTTCCTTTGTGCCTCAAAACCTCATATTTTTCTCTACTTGAAATTTCCTTTCCTTTCTTTGCCATGGAGAAATGTTCCTGATCCTTCGAGGCCCATTCCAATGCCACCAGAATTCTGAAGCTTTTTGGTCTTTTCTTTCCCAGTAGAATAACTAGCCCTCTCTTTTCTGCTCCCAGTCCTTCATTCTTAATTTATTACAGCACAATCTCTTATGTTCTCGTTAGATTTGGGTGCTTTTCTTCCTTCCCTGCCCAACCATGACCTTCTTGAGCAGACGGTTTGTATCTGAGTCCTTTCACATTTTCCTCAGCAGATATTGTAAGTTCTCTAAAGTACTTCTTGAACTGGGCTGAATCGTTGACTTTCTAATAGCAGTTTTTCCCCATTTGTGTTTTGAGTTGTCGGTGCAGAAGAGCTGAATGGAACCATTTGTTCCCTAGTCTCTGATGTTCCCTCTGCTGATGAGGGAAATTGGGTTGTGGTCGTCATGGCTTACCTCTCACATCTGTCCCCTTAGGAGTAAGACCGCAACATTCACAGATGTCAGGATCAGAACCATGAATGAAGTTATCACTGGCATAAGAATAATAAAAATGTATGCTTGGGAAAAGCCATTTGCAGAGCTTATTACCAGTTTGAGGAGGTAAGTTTTTGTATATATCACACTATATTTTTCATATTTTAAAACACTGAAAGCACTCTCATTCTGATTCTTCTCTGACCCTCGACTAACTGAGGCTCTGCCTCTCAGGTTCCATGTGTGCAACTCACCCTGACTCCACTGGTCCCAGTCAGATGCCTCTTCTCCGTGTCCCCCAGGGGCCTGTGCTGGCTGCTTCTGTCTAATGTCTTGTCCCACAAGTTTGGGGGTGCTTATTCTCTTTTCCAGTGAGTGCATGTGCTCCTGGAGGGGACAGGCTGTATCTTTGTCATCAGCGAGGTGCCTGGCACATGACCAGTGTTCATGAATGAATGTTCCAACCCAGACCGATTGACCCAAAATGTTAAAGTGCACACTGAGCCTTCACATAGTTGGATGAGTGAAGTGGGTATTGAGCACATGGGCCTCATGTGGGAACCAGCCCCAGGGCTGGAACTGTAGAATGGTTGTTTATCTTAAAGGATGGGGACATATGGCCCTCAGAAAGGGGGCCTCATGCAAAAGGTACTTGAATTCATTTCATGACTTTGCTGTCAGTGCTTGCCTTAAAATCTATATCCTGCCCTGGGCGGTGTTGCTCAGTTGGTTGGGCGTCATCCCATGCACCAAAAGGTTGCTGGTTCGATTCCCAGCCAGCGCACATGCCTGGGTTGCAGGCTCAATCCCCAATAGGGGACATGCAAGAGGCAGCTGATCAATGTTCCCCTCTCACATTGACATTTCTCTCCCTCTCCCTCCCTCTCCTTTCCTCTTTCTCTAAAAATCAATAAAAAATCTTTTGGAAAAAACCCCCAAAACCTATATCCTACTCTTTCCTAGGAAGGAAATTTCCAATATTCTGAAAAGTTCCTACCTTAGAGGAATGAATTTGGCATCATTTTTCGTTGCAAGCAAAATCATCGTTTTCGTGACCTTCACTACCTATGTGCTCCTTGGCAATGTGATCAGAGCCAGCCATGTGTTTGTGGCGGTGACGCTCTATGGGGCCGTGCGGTTGACTGTCACCCTCTTCTTCCCCTCGGCCATCGAGAAGGTGTCAGAGGCCATCGTCAGCATCCGAAGGATCAAGGTTTGGTTACAAATAACATTTTAAAGTTGTAGGCCGGTTTTAAGTAAAATCATGCCTCGTTTTACTTAGTGTTACTGTGTTCCTGTTGGGTGGGGTGTAACTGTCAGGGCCAAATCTGCAGTCATTCCAAAATGTCTTAGGTGCTCTTCTGCATTTGCTTAGGTGGAGTGCATCACAGGTAGCGGGAGAATCGCTGGTCACTTATGGGCAGTGTTATTTATAACTAGCGGCACAGGGCTCTTGCTGTCCAAGTCATAACTGCAGGGTGATTAAAATGTGTAAAAGCCGGAGAGGAAAACAGACTTCATTTCCTGTGCTAACTGGATTGACTAGTTGGGGCCTGCACGCAGTCCTGGGTGAGAGGGATTCTTCTCCAGGCCGGGAAGGAAAGGGTTGCTGGAAGGTACTTGCTCCTAGGACAGGAAGAATGGCCTCTATCTCACTTAGCTCTCTCTGTTTAAAAATGGGTTCTTTCCTCCACAGATGCTTTGCCTGTGATTGCCCAGCATGCCTTTTGGACCTCCGGCTTTTTGTGCCTGTCCTCTTTTCGCTTTTTCTTTCTCTCTAGCCTATCTCTAGCAGGCCTCTTCCTTTCAAAGTTGTGTTTTTTTTTTAAATTTCCACCATACCCACTGTTGCCTGACTAACTGTCCCTAAATTGCTAGGGGCAAATAATTTACATTACCAGGTTAAGGGCCCAGCCCACAGTAGGTGGTCAAGAATTTGTATGTGAGGGCCTGGGCAGGAACCTGAGTGTCTGTGCCTGACCAGAAATCTGGTTGGTTTTGTTGCTGTTTTTCCACAGTGACAGATGCCCAGTAATAGATCTTTAGTCAAGTCAGGTAGCACTTTTTCGGTGGGGGGAAGTTCTTGTCATAAAAACAGATTTTTTTATGATTAAGTTTCAATACTAAAAAGCATTACCCATAAAACAGATTAATATGGGGGTTAGTTCTGGTCCCCCGTGTTTATCTTTTTTTCCCCTTTCTGACGGGTTTCTAGCAACTTTGTTAAGGGATGGTCCATGCTGTTCAGTAAAAGTTCTTTTATGCAGCTTTTTCATTTGAAAGAAGACATCTAGGGATATACATGGACCACAGTGACGGGTTAAGTGTGCACTGTAGCTTCTCCAGGTGGTGGCTTTGGGCACATACATACTGTGCTGCCGAATGTGGTTCACGCTGCTGTGCTGCCTGTGGGCCAGACACTCTTGAAGCCCTTACACAGCATCATTTAATCCTGACAATGGTTGAACGAGATGAGCATTAGTCTGCCCACTTTACTGATAAAGAAACAGGTTCTGTAACAGGAGAAATAGAGTGCCCATCCCCACATAGCTTGTAAGGAGTAGAACTAGGATTCTGCCCCGAACCCTGGTTTCTTAGCCCTTGTAACATCACCTTCTTAGCACCTTCTGGCATGTGGACTATTCCCTGAAGTGTTGTTCTAATCATTCAGTCTTCCTCCGAAGACCTCCAGAGGTTTCCTGTTTCTATGGAATCAAAGTGTTAGACTCTAGCTTTAAGCTTAGCTGGCTGCAGTGTTGTTTCCCAGCACATTCCCTCCGCTCCAGCAGAGGCTTGTTTCTGTTACGTGCAACATTCACCCCCACTTTTGGGCTTTTGTTCGCTCTGTTCAGCCCCCCAGCCTGCCTTTCTTTTTCATCCTTGACTTGAGCAAATGCTGCTGAGCCCTGCTGAGCCCTCTGTCTAGCTCTCACACCCTGTCCCAGCACTTTTGTTCATGCCGATTTCAGGCTTTCATGTACCTGCATGGCCAGCACAGCACCGCTCAGCATCATTTCAGGGGGTGATTTTGACTCCCCAGGAGCGCTCTGAGCCACTCAGCTGCAGACCACCTCTGGTAGTTCTTTTGCATAGTGCTCAGCCCCATGTTGAACACGTAAAGGGCATCAAATAAATACTGGGTTGACTGAAACAACAGTCACAGGACAAAACTGGCAGTCAGCAGAGGCCCAGGGTGGCCCAGCCTGTGCTTGGAGCCGGAGAAATGCGCAGGAGGGAGGAGGGGTGAGTTGGGCATTCCTGGAACACTGGGCCTTGTGGATCTCAACCTAGGGTGCGGGACCTTGTCTAGAGTGGGGATGGATCTGAGTCTTTTCCTTGTTCTGTGTGTCCACCAGCCTGTCTGGACTTGGTGGTCCTGCTCTCTAAAGAGAGGAGCTGTGCCCCACACACAACCTGATGCTAATGTAGACACTGCTGGCCTGGCTCCTGGTCTCTGTAGACAGCCAGGTGTTTTTGTTTTTTTTGGCCTTATAGGTAAATAGAAACATTCATTCTTCCTTGGTTAACAGAATTAACCTGACAGTCTTACTGGCTGTCATGAGATAAAAAGAAGATTAAAACCGTGGGGCTTTGTGCTAAAATGCACCTCAAGTCCAGAGGCAGTCTGGGGATAGAATTCCCTCTTCAGAGGAGCTCAAGTCTTTTTTCTCTTAAGGCCTTCAACTGATAAGATGAGGCCCATCAACATTTGGAGGACAATCTGCTTTACTCAGAGTCTGCAGATTTCAGTGTTAATCTCATCTAAAAAGTTACTTTCACTGCAATATCCTGATATGTTCGAGCAAATAAATATTTGGGGACTATGGCTAGACAGGTGGACACAGAGCTAACCATCATATCCTCTTGAATCCCCGTCTCTTCCTTTGAGCTCCCTGGATGTGACTCTGCCCTCACCCCACGAATTGAAGCCTTCTGTATGGATTTCTTCCCCTCTCTGGACTCCAGACTTGTAAAGGGCAGATACAGCGTCACATTCATCTTTTTCCCCCTCACAGAGGGCAGGTGCTCAGAAAATGTGCCACTGTCACATCTGTGGGACTCTGCGAATGCCGAACAGTTGAGCACTGATTAGGGGAAAGTGATGACTTTCACTCTCTGATGGACTATGTAGTGCATCAAGGAGCACTGCATGCATGAAAGGGATCCCGCAGAAGGTTTTCAGGGAATTGCCAAATATTTCCATAGGATTTTTTATTTCTTTTCCACCAAAATGCTACCGAACTGTATCTGAAGCTTGAAATTCCTTCCCATGCAGATGTGTGCAGTAACGTTAGAATTATGACCCGCGGAAGACTTTGACTTTTCTTGGGGCTCTCTTTGTCAAGCTAGTTTGTGTCCCGATAAAGGAAACACCTTCGATTTGAGCAGGAAACCTCGATTGTCCCTCATGTACATAGTTTCTGGCGGGCAGGTGGGCCTAGGAGTTTACAGATCTGCTCAGCAGTGGTTTTCAGCAAAGACGGGACAAATGGCAGAGAGTAAAAGTAATGAGAAAGGGTTGTTAGCATGCAAACTGCCTCGTGGTCGCGTTGAATAATGACTGAATGTGTTTTCTTTATTTAATTTTTAAAAATATATCTTTATTGATTTCAGAGAGAGGAAAGGAGAGGGGGAGAGAGAGATAGAAACATCAATGATGAGAGAGTCATTGATTGGCTGCCTCCTGCATGCCCCCGACTGGGGATCGAGCCCGCAACCCGGGCATGTGCCCTGACCAAGAATCGAACCCCAATCGCCCCGATCTTAGGTCAATGCTCAACCGCTGAGCCACACCCGGCTGGGCTGAATGTGTTTTTCTTTTAGAGCTTAGACTCTTTTTCAGTCTATGTGGTTCCTATGACTCTCTAAAGACTGAGTTCTGTAGTTCATCAGAATCACATGGGACTCTTGTTAAAACAAAATTATTATACCTTGGTGAGCTTCCAGTTCACTAGATTTTGGCTCAGGCCCAAGGTATCTATGTCTTTAGCAAATGCCCGGAATACCTGGAAATAGGCCACATTTGGGGTAAAATTGCCTTAGTTGTGGATAAAAGCACACATAGTCAAAATGTTCTTAGCAAATATAAAAAGACATCAGGGGCATGTTAAAACTAGTCAGGTGAGAGGAAAAACAAAGCCCTGTCTTGCTTAATGCTAGGCTGGGAGACAGATTTGGAATTTATTCCTTCATTCAGTCACTTAGTTCACGGTATAATTGAGCACGTACGCAAGCCTGGCGCTGTGCTTAGATGCGTATATACAATGGCGAGGGAGCGCACAGAAGTCCTTCCTGCTTGGAATTTTTGTATCATCAAGTGGGGCGGGAGGGTCATTAAGAAGCAAAGAATAAAACTCGCTGTCGATGTGTGTTTGTGTATCCCTAGTTCTTGGAAGGGAGAGCCTAAGGGAGGGGCCTTGTTGGAGACACTGGTGTAAATTTGGGTGCAGTGCTCCCTGGAAGGCTGAAGAAGTTCCCTGGGCAATCGCGTGTGTGAGGGTGGGGCGGGGCAGGCTAGTGGAGGAGGCAGGAGGCTGATGCGTTGCATTTTCATGGGGATGGTTATGCGAGGAGAACTCTTAGTGCACAAGGAGGAGATTTGAGAAAGTGTGAGGCCGCAGAGAAGAGAGTGCTGGAGTCCCGAGCAGGAGACCACACGGGACCCTGCCGAAGGCATGAAGATTTTCAGCTTTTTCAGATCTCACCCTGGTTGCAGCAGGGGGACCCAGTCAGGGAGGTAGGGGTGGGGATCCAGAGTAAGGCAGGGATATAGGTAAAGAGGCGTAGGTAGTCCGGGAATGCGTTGATGTCATTTGGATTAGGGTGGAATAGAGACTTGGCCAGATTTGGGATCTACTTAGGAGCAAGCTTGAGTTGGGTGTGGTGGGAGGGGAGAGGTTCGGCAGAAGGAGGGATCACAGGCTGCACTGTGTTTGGTGTTTTTTTTTTTTTTTTTTTTTGCTGCAAAATCACCCAGATTCATTGGAATATGAACTACTAGAACTATAGATTTGGGAAGGAGGAGAGCATGAATGTGGTTTTAAAGATGCTTTTCAAATACCCAGGTGTTTGCTTTAAGACCCACTGACGGACCATATGTCCGATTTAGTCTCCTTTTCTAAATATCTGACAGAGGTAATAGGCAATAAATACAGTGCCCCACCCCCTAATCTGGGGGGGGG